AACCCCCGAATCATCACTGGTACTACGTTGGCGATGCGTCGGGGTAGTTGTTCGACACCCCCCCGCCAACAAAAAAGGCTAAATTCCGACATGTGCACGTGGAGGGGAGACATGCAGTGTTCCCTGGACCAGGACAACGCGACAGTGCCGATGTGTCGACAGCATGCCGATGAACAGTGGTCACAAAGTGCGGAAAGTCGCCAGGACGCAGCGGTGCCGACGTGCAACCAAAGAGCGCGACGAAGTTTACAACCAAAGGCGATTGCACATTACCAACATCCGAGAAACAAGGCAACAAGCATCGGATGCCGAACCTTTTATGCAGCGTTCTCGGTCCGAGCGGCTGAGGGGCAGAGCACGCATCTCCACAGTCACAGCTGGCAGTCAGGAAGCAGCATGAAAATAAACAAACACAAACTTCAGTCATGCCCAGAAGGGCACATCTCGAGTGGTTCCCGCCTTGATGGCCCCAAGAGCCCCCCAGTGACCCCAGGGGCGCCTCCAAGAGGTTCCAAGAGGCTTCCAAGGGGCACAGACGACGCACCCAAGAGGCCCCCCGAGAGTTCCCCTCAAATGCCGACCAGGAGCCCAAGAGCCCACCAAGAGGCCCCTGACAGGCATCCCAGAAGACCCTTACATGCATCCTCGAGGCCCCTGACTGACAGGCCAGGCACGGTGCCACGATTCTTGACGAATTCGCTGTTGACGGGGTCGGCCGAATGGCGTAAGCCTCTCGAATCCAAGTCCAGAGGTGACGTGCTGAGCGGCAGCGTTTTTCGGCGAACGCCTTAATGCAACGTGTCCAATGTATCCAATGATTGCATAATTCCTCTCGCTTCGCGGGGTGCACGTCCGGAGCACGTACAGTCACGTCGTCGCGGGGCCTCTTGGGACCTGGAGGCCTCCTGGGAGCTTCTTTGGGGCCTTTCCCCCCTCCTTTTCATACACCCTCCCCATCTTCCCTTCCAGCGCCGGCTCTAATCATGGGCGCCGCAGTGACCAACTTCCACCTGGCTGGCGCTGCGCCGCAGTTCGCCCATAGGGGGGAAAATAACATTACACTCCAGTCACTGTGTGGCCTTTGGGGGGTTTTGTTGGGGAGCCTTTTGGAGGCTTCTGGGGGGCTTCTTGGAGGCTTCTTGGGGGCCTCTTGGGGCCTCTTCGGGGCGGTTTCGGCCGTCTTGGCGCTTTTGCGCCGTTTCGCCCCCTCGGAGGCTGTCCTGGGGGCCTCTCGCGGCCGCATTGGAACCCTCTTGGGGTCCTCTTGGGCCGTCTTTGCGGCCTCTTGGACCGTCTTGGGGGCCTCTTCGGGCCGTTTTGGGGCCCTCCTGGGCCGTCTTGGGGCCCTCTTGGGGGCTTTTTGGTTTGTTCTGGGGCGATTCTGGAAGCTGCTTGGGCCGTCACGGATTTGTGAAAGTCGGAAAAGACGAGAACGCTAAAATATGTCAAAACCAACGGAAAATCAATGATTTCGGCCTCTGGAGGCGCAGATGTGGGCGCTCTTGGAGCCCTCTTGGGCCGTCCTTGGAGCTTTTGGGGCCGTCTTGGGGGCCTCATGGGCCCCCGTTGGGAATATCTTGGGCCGTCTTGGGGTCGTCTCGGGGTCATCTTGGGCCATCTTGAGGCCCTCTTGGAGACCCAAGAGGCCCAAGAGGTCGAAGTTGTTGATTTTCCATCGGTTTCTGTCGGATTTTTAAGGCCCGGAAGGGGGGGGGGCATTTTGGTCCGTTCATGTGGCGCGACTGCAGGGGGGGGGTGGGGGGGAGACATGATAATGTAACACAATAATACAGGATGTGGGAATTATGCAAACATTGGACACATTGGATCCACTGCATTACAGCATCCGCGGAAAAAGCTGCCGCTCAGCACGTCAGTTCCGGACGTGGAGTGCGGCATATTGTGTTGTGTTACATTATTATGTCTCCCTCCCTAACCCCCCCGGGAGCTGCGCCACAGGAACGGACCAAAGTGCCCCCCCCCTCCCGGGGCTCAAAAGCCCACCAAAACCTATAGAAAATCTATGATTTCGACATCTTGGGCCTCTTGGGGGGGCCAAGAGGGCGCCAAGACGGCTCAAGATGGGCTCTGCGCGGGCCAACACGGCCCCGAGACGGTCCAAGATGGCCCCAAGAGGGCCCAAAAATCCCCAATGACAGCCCAAGAGGGCCCCAAGAGCGCCCACAACTGCACCTCCAGAGGCCAAAATCATTGATTTCCCTATGGTCTGGTAATCTTTTAGCGTTCTCGCCTTGGCGGCCCAAGCACCTAAATCGCTCCAGAACAACCCAAGAAGCCCCCAAGAGGGCCCCAATACGGCCCAACAGAACCCCAAGACGGCCCAAAGAGGCCCCCAAGACAGTCCAAGAGGCCCCTATGACGGCCCAAAAGGACCCCAAGACGGCCCCAAGGCGGCCGCGAGAGGCCCCCAAGACGGCCTCCGAAGGGGCGAAACGACGCAAGAGCGCCCCAATACGGCCAAAGACGCCCCCAAGAGGCCCCAAAAGGCCCCCAAGAGGCCCCCAAGTGGCCCCAAAAAGCCCCCAAGAGGCCTCCAAGATGTCTTCAAGAAGCCTCCCAAAGGCTCCAAAGAAGCCCCCCGAAGGCCGCACAGCGACTGGAGTGCAATGCCATTTTTCCAACCTGGGCGAACTGCGGCGCAGCGCCAGCCAGGTGAAGTTGGTCGCAGCGGCGCCCATGATTAGAGCCGGCGCTGGAAGGAAATATGGGGAGGGAGTATGACAAGGAGGGAGGGGGTAGAGGCCCCCAAAAAGTCCCCAAGAGGCCCAAGGAAGCTCCCAGGAGGCCTCCAGGAGGCCCCCAAGAGGCTCCCAAGAGGCTCCGTGATGATGTGACTGTACGTGCTCCGGGCGTGCACCCCGCGAAGCGAGAGGAATCAACAACACACAAGCCTCAGTAGCACGACGGGGGCCACGAACAGGACACTGAACAGCGGAACGAGGCGCAGCATGACTCGCCCATAAACCTGTAAAGGCGCCCAGAGACACACACACACACACACACACACACAAACACACACACACACACACACACACACACACACACACACACACACACGCGCACACACACACACAAGAATACACAAGAAGACACACAAATACACACAAATACACACAAATACACACACATAGACACACACACACACACACACACACATCCAGGATTCCCATATTTTCCCATGATTCCTGGGTTTCCATTTCCCCCCCCCACATTTCCAATATTTTCCCATATCTTCCTGGGAGTCGACGGTCAATTGTGTCTGTTTGTCCTTTCCCCTCCTGGAAACCAGTAAGGCGATCAGTGTGTCAAGCACGATGTCTTCAAGCTGAGAGTGAGCAGAATCCGACCCACAGGGCGCACGCTGCACCAGAACGCCACGCGTCAACGCAGAGGACCGCCTGCCTGATGGAGCCTGCCGGCGAAACAGAAGGACCAGCCCAGCCCGAAACCCCAAACAGCACAAGCACAAGCAAAACACAAGCACAGGAACAATCGCAATCACAAGCGAAAGCACGACCACGAGCACAAGAGCGAGCACAAGCACAGGCACAAGAGACAAAGAAAAGTACCGCAACAAAACGATTAAATATTATGGCCGACAGGGCAAACTGGGACTGAAGTTTCCGTGTGAGGCTGTCGGCGACAAGCATCGCAAAGTATTCGGCATTGCCAAGACAAAAAATGTTACTCATGAGCAGGTGGCGATCGTAGAGGTGCAAGCTTCCACGGGTGGGACGTACACTGTTAGTTAAAACAAATTCCTAGGCTGGGCAATTGCCCAGCGGCGCGCGCCAAACTTCCTGCACACACTCGGACTGATGCCTCTCCTCCTTCGTAGTGACAACCCGCGCTTGCACTTAAATGCGCCATGTTCACAAGGCGTCCTTGTTTTAAACCTGTGCGGCCTCAAGTCTGCGTTATCTTCGTGGGCAAACGTTAGGCCGAAGCTTGTAGACGCAATGGCATCACGGCCATGTCGAAACAACTCGCCGCAATTCCTAAAGACTACAATGTTGCTGGCAAGATTGACAGGACCAAGTGGGCCAACTGAGCCCAAGCGCGCATCGCCCCCTTGCCACACGGCATGATCACTCGATGAGATCGGCACTGCCAAAATTGGGTTGCCACTTCAGATATGACACCCTTGGCTGGCATGCGCGTCCGACTTGTCATTGCCATCGCTCTGGCGCGCCATGCACAACTGATCGGCTCTTCTGCCTGTCCCGTCCGCGTACGAGCGCGCCGCGTCATACCAAGGACCACTCGATCAGACTTCGTGACTGACGACTGGAACTACGCGCAGTTGCGAACTCCAAACAAAACACCGCCACAGAGTAAAACAAGCACGCGGCGACACACCGGAACGGATCGCGAAGTGCCCTCACCTCAGGAGAAGTCAACAACGCTTACACGCGGGCAGGACAGCCAGGCGTGATGGTCGGTGTGCTTTATCAGCGCATGCTTGCTCATCGTTGCGGCACACATCAATATGTTCTGCCCAGTTGCGCCGAGACGGTAACGGAACAAGCCAGTCCTACGCATACCAAGCAGAAGCACTCCCACATCACCTTGTGTCTGCCCCGTTTGTCTGCCTTGTCGGATTCCCCTTCCTTCTGCAACCCCCATTTAGTCTAGAGCGACCCTGGAGCCTCAATAACATGTTCGATCGCAGTTGCTGGTGGGGCGTAGTAGTACTCTATCAAATGACCGTTCGTTGCTACGGAGGCGGCGTGCTATGTGCCACGGCCACTGACTTCCTTTTCTACCGCTTCTCCTCCTCCTCCTCCTCCTCCTCCTCCTCCTCCTCCTCATCCTCCTCCTCCTGATGCTCTTCCTCATCCTCCTCATCGTTCCCATGCCATTCATCATTCTCAACATTTCTATTCCTCCTTCTCCCTACCTTTTCCTTCCGCCACCCCATTAATGGCTGTGCTTCGCAACCCTTCCTCCATTATTTGACACATGGAGGGTGGCGCTGCCTCAGCGGGAGGGCGGGTTTCTGCAGACCAGCGAACGTAGTCGCACCAGACCTGCTGCTAAGGAAAGAAACAATCATATCTACCTGCGCCGCCTGCCCACATTCAGAACCCCTCGGACTAGCCACGCCCATCATTGTCACCCTGACTCATCAGCCTCTCTGACGCGCCCAGCGATTGCTGTCATGTGTCGTCTGCTCCGCTGCCTGAGAAATCCTGCTCCGAGGCGACGCGTGCGCGCACATTCTCAGCGAAGCCTCAGCCACGATAGGAGCCACCCCTGCACTTGCACGCACGCCAAGTATGCGCTGACGAGCGTTTCGCGCACTCGGCTCCTGAATGTATTCCGGTCGCGTCCTCCCCCTCCCGTTACACTGATTCAGCCCGCTGGCTGCGCCTGCTATTGACGAGCCCTCGGCCACACGCCACGCCACCGAAAGCCGAGAACGACAAAACGATGCGGGGACGGAGGATGACATGGAGGCGGCGGGCGACGGGATACAGCAGACAGAAGGCATGAGTGGATGAGTTCAGGGTGAAGCAAAGAAACAACTCCAGCGCTGAAGGCAGCCTTTCCAGTTCGAATATTGGATGCCAGCGGCGGCTAATAATCGCACATCACAGTGGAACAAAATTAGCCTGACGAAGGACCCAACCATATGCAGGTGTGAGTGCCGCAATTGTGATTCACTTTTTCGGTGGCGACCCCTATGAGGCAACGAACCGTGCTAGGGATGTGCCGAAATGAGTGGCGTGGTACACAACGCGAACGAAAACGAACAACACAATGCGGACTGCGCCACGGGGACCTTCGGTGGGGCTCCATATGAGGCCACCGAACGCTGTACTGGGTGAAGGAGACGCATGCGGAATGCGCCACGGGGACCTTCAGTGGAGTTCCACATGGGGCCACGAAACGTGTGAGGGGTGTACCGAAATAAATGGCGGGGACGCATGCGGACTGTGCCACTGGGACCTTCGGCGAAACGTGTGAGGGGTGTGCCGAAATGAATGGCGGGGACGCATGCCAACTGTGCCATTGGGACCCTCGGCGGAGCTCCTATGGGGCCACGAAACGTGTGAGGGGTGTGCCGAAATGAATGGCGGGGACGCATGCGAACCATGCCACTGGGACCTTCGGCGGAGTTCGTATGGGGCCACGAAACGTGTGAGGGGTGTGCCGACATGAATGGCGGGGACGCATGCGAACTGTGCCAATGGGGCCTTCGGCGGAGCTCCCATGGGGCCACGAAACGTGTGAGGGGTGTGTCGACATGACTGGCGGGGACGCATGCGAACTGTGCCACTGGGACCTTCGGCGGGGCTCTTATGGGGCCACGAAACGTGTTGGGGGTGTGCCGAAATGAATGGCGGGGGCGCATGCGAACTGCGCCACTGGGACCCTCAGCGGAGCTCCTATGGGGTCACGAAACGTGTGAAGGTGTGCCGAAATGAATGGCTGACGCATGCGAACTGTGCCACTTTGACCATCGGCGGAGCTCCTATGGGGCCACGAAACGTGTGAGTGTGCCGACAGGAATGGCGGGGACGCATGCGAACTGTGCCACTGGGACCTTCGGCGGGCCTCCTATGGGGCCATGAAGAGTGTGAGGGATGTGCCGAAATGAATGGCGGGGACGCATGCGAACTGTGCCACTGGGACCTTCGGCGGAACTCCTATGGGGCCACGAAACGTGTGAGGGGTGTGCCGAAATGAGTAGCGGGGACGCATGCGAACTGTGCCACGGGGCCCTTCGGCGGAGCTCCTATGGGGCCACGAAACGTGTGAGGGGTGTGCCGACATGAATGGCGGGGACGCATGCGAATTATGCCACTGGGACCTTCGGCGGAGCTCCTATGGGGCCACGAAACGTGTGACGACGATGATGATGACGATGATGATGATGATGATGACGACGACGACGATGATGATGATGAGAGGAGGGGACGGGGAGGAGAAGGATGAGGAGACGCCGGGACCGTCTCTTCAAAACGAAGAACCAACAACACAGGTTGGTTGGGAAAAACCGCACACCACAGTGGACCCAACTTAGTCTGGCGAAGGACCCAACCATATGCAGTTGTAAGTACCGCAATTATGAATAGATTCTTCGGTGGAGCTCCCTATGGGGCCGCGACGCAGGGAGCAAGGGCTGTGCTGGGTGGTGGCTGACGCACTCGGGCGGTGCCACTGAAACCTTCGGAGGAACTCTCTATGGGGCCACGGAATGCTGCACTGGGTGGGTGAAACGTAGGGAGCAAGGGCTGTGCTGGGTGGTGGCGGACGCATGCGGGCGATGCCACTGGGACCTTCCCTGGAGCCCGCTTATGGGGCCACGAAACGCTGAACTGGGTGGGTGAAACGCAGGGAGGAGGGCTGTGCTGGGTGGTGGCTGACGCATGCGGGCGGTGCCACTGGAACCTTCGGTGGAGATCCCTATGGGGCCACGAAGCGCTGTACTGGGCGGGCGAAACGCAGGGAGCAAGGGCTATGCTGAGCGGTGGCCAGCGCACGCGGGCGGTGCCAGTGGGACCTTCGGTGGAGCCCCCTATGGGGCCAACGAACCGCTGTACTGGGTGGGTGAAACGCAAGGAGGAGGGGGAGGAGGGCCACGAAACGCTGTACTGGGTGGGCGGGACGCATGCGGACGGTAGACCTGGAACCTTCGGTGGAGCTCACTATGGGGCCACGAAACGCTGTACTGGGTGGGTGAAACGCAGGGAGGAGAGGGAGGACGGCCACGAAACACTGTACTGGGCGGGGGGGGCGCATGCAAACGGTCGAGGAACCTTCGGTGGAGCTCCCTATGAGGCCACGAAGCGCTGTACTGGGTGGGTGAAACGCGAGGAGGGGGAGGAGGGCCACGAAACGCTGTACTGGGTGGGGGGACGCATGCGGACGGTAGACCTGGAACCTTCGGTGGAGCTCACTATGGGGCCACGAAACGCTGTACTGGGTGAAACGCAGGGAGGCGAAACGCAGGGAGGAGGGGGAGGCTCCCTATGGGGCCACGAAACGCTGTACTGTGTGGGGGGACGCATGCGGACGGTAGACCTGGAACCTTCGGTGGAGCTCCCTATGGGGCCACGAAGCGCTGTACTGGGTGGGTGAAACGCAGGGAGGAGGGGGAGGAGGGCCACGAAACGCTATACTGGGTGGAGGGGACGCATGCGGACGGTAGACATGGAACCTTCGGTGGAACTCCCTATGGGGCTACGAAACGCTGTGCTGGGTGGGTGAGACGCAAGGAAAAGGGAGAGGAGGGAGTAGGAGGAGAGGGGGAGAGGAGGAGAGGAGGAGGAGGAACGCGGGGACCGTCATTTCAAAACGAGGACCCAACATCACAGGATGGTTGGGAACAAATGAGCCATAAGGGTGACATATTCTAGCCTTCGGCCACAACAAGCCGTCACGAGCCCTCACGAAAGTGAACGCGTGAAGACACGCACGAGCGCAACACGCTCAACGCGCCCGATCCCTCTGGCGTCCCACTCAGGAACGCAAGGTTCAAACCTCCACAGAAAGTTCCCGAAGGAGTGGGAAGAAAGGAGAAGATGCAGGAGGACGACTTTTGTGTCCAGGGGTGCGCCCATTACTTTCGAGCAGCATTGAAGGAATTCGCTGCTGGCCCGATAGGCCAAGTGCGTGTCATGTCAGTAGGCGAACTGTGCTCAGCACCTGTGCCAAAGTTTGCCGCTTTTGTTAACAGCTGCCTCTACGATGGACACTCAATCTACTGAACACACCGATGGGTGCCCGCCAGCATGAACGCCGCTAAAGCCTCTGTAGAGCCCCAAAACGGCAAAAGAGGAACCAAACAGAATGTCGAGACGCCCCCGACCCCGCGATGGTCCAAGATGGCTTCAAGATAGCCCACGACGACCCCAGGACGGCCCAAGAGTGATCCCAGCGGACCGCCGAGGGGGCCTCACGACGCAAACATCACCCCGTTCCCTGCGGAAAACATATATTTTCGACATACTCGCCTTTCTCGCCTTGACAGCGTCCAATACGGCCCAAAGGGCCCCCAAGATCGTCCCAAGACGGTCCAGGAGTCCCCCGAGAGGGCCCGAAGACGGCCCACTACAGCTACAAGAGGGCCACGAGGGATCTCAGACAGACCCAAGAGTGACAATACGAACTGACATCTGGAGCCGTTCCCCCATCATGGCCTCAAAGCCCCCCAGAGACCCCAGTGGCGATGCCAAGAGGCCCCCAGTAAGCCTCCAAGAGGCCCCCAAGAGGCTCCGAAAAGGCCGCCAAGAGGCCCCAAAAAGCCAACCAGATGCCTCCAACAGCAATGTAAAGGGCCCCTGAAAGTTGAACCCTCGCGAGCGTGAAAAAACACCCAGCCACTCCAACTCCAACATAGACTACCGAACGCCCTGGACGTCTCTGCTCCGCTGGGGGTCGGCAGCGTAGTGCAAAGCCACTTGGATAACCCCAACACGGCTCAAGACCACTCCAAGACGGCTCGAGACCGGCTCAAGACCACCCCGTACTGCCGACGTCGGCTCTGGGGCAACTCCAATACGCAAACTGACAGCCCTCTGATGCTCTCAGGACCCCCCACCAGTCTCAACAGGCCCCCTGAATGCCTCCAAGAGGCCTGCCGAAGGATCTGGTCAAGCTATTGAAGACCAAGGCACAACCGTTTTCGCCATCAGTCTATACGGCCCAGCATGCACTTGAGAAAGCCTCACGGTGACCCCTCGGCCCTGATAGACGTCTTCAACCGAAAATATCCGCCCAAAGGCAATCCCAGGACTGGTCCAAGATGGTCCAAGTGTAGCCCAAAACGGGTCCACGATTGCCCCGAGACAACCCAGACAAACCTGGAACCCCCAAGATCACCCGACCGACAACTTCCCAACAGGTCCCTATCGCAAGGAGGCCCTCGACAGGCTCCTCAGAGGCCCAACAAAATCCAATAGAAGTGCGCTGAAAGTTTCCAGAAGGTCACACTTCCTGGCCAAGAGAGGCTCTCACCAAACATCGAAGCGGCTCTTGGGCAACCCGAAACAGCATCCAGGTGGTTGAAGAATTCCCCAGCGGGTCCCAGAATGGAGAGACATACGGAAAGAGAGGGAGAGATAGAGAGGAAAAAAAGGAGTGTATGAAACAACTACGCATACTAGACAGCGACCTGCACATAGTCCGTCTCCGCCGAAAGGTCGCCTGCGCGTGCCAGTACGGCCTCGAAGCCTGCACCCTGATCGTGAACAGCCATGACCTCGGCAGCACCACAAAACAAGACGCTCGAGCTCCGAGTTCTTCTGGGCTCGAATAGACGCCACGATGTTCATCGATACAGGATCTACTTGAAAGACGCTACTTCTCTCTAGCCCAGGGCACGGGCGCGATGCTCCCCCCAGACTCACGAGCAAAAGCAAGCACGCATCGGGCCATGGAAGACCACGGCAGACACACTGAACAATGGAACGCCCCCACTGATCCCATTTGCCCTCAAGCCTCGAGAGGCATCTAGGAGGTCGCGTTCCGGTGGGTGGCCATCTAGCGACGAGGCTGCCGCCATCTTGCCTGGGGCACGCCTGGGCCACGGCAGGCTGCAGCCACCGTGCTGCCATACGGAACGCCGAATCCGGGACGAAGCAGCCCCCCTGGCCACGCCGAGCCCCCTCCGCGAAGAGGCTCCACGACCCGCGTCTGAGGAACGGCCCGGAAACCAGAGCCCATCCTGAGCCCAGAGTGGTCGCGCCCGCAGCGTCTCGACTGCGTCCTCGCCCACAACTCGCCTTCGGCCCGGCCCCCCTCGCCCCGTGCCCTTCCGCCTCTTTCTTCTTGCCGCTCCTCCCCTCCTCCCCCTCACCGCTCTCATCCCCCTTCCCTCCTCGCCCCTCCTCGTCCTCGCTCCTGCCCCTCCTCCCTCTTACCTCTTCCCTTTTCTTGCCGCTCTTCCCCTCTGTCACCATATCGGACGACAGCCAGGACCAGGACAACATCGGACTGGGACAACTGGTGGGATGTGCCTGATCTGGCGGTCCTGGAAAACGTAACGCATCGGGCGCCGCGGCCGCTTAAGGGCGCTGCTGTGAACGCTCTGAGAGCGTGCCAGGACGCTCTGGAACGATCTTCATCCCTGGTCCTGTGGCCCCACTCCCTCCTCCCTCCTCCTCCTCCTCCTCCTCCTCCTCCTCCTCCTCCTCCTCCTCCTCCTCCTCCTCCTCCTCCTCCTCCTCCTCCTCCTCCTCCTCCTCCTCCTCCTCCTCCTCCCTCCTCCTCCTCCTCCTCCTCCTCCTCCTCCTCCTCCTCCTTCCTCATCCCCCTGCTCGTCCTCTTCCTCCTCCTCCTCCTCCTCCTCCTCCTCCTCCTCCTCCTCCTCCTTGGCTGCTCTTTCGTCGTGGCATCTGTTCACGGCCCCGCCCCATGCAGTACGTGGATCCGAGGACGAGGAGGAAGAACATGAGGAAGAGAAATATGATCACGAGGAAAAGGTCACGCACAACACATGTTGCAAGCCGTGGAAGGAACACAAGCGCGTTTACTTCATCCACGAGTGATGCACGATACGAGATTTGCCGCAACACGTGCACATCAGGCCAAGACGCAAGACAGTGCAAAAAAACGAGCCTTGTGCTTCAGCCTCGGCGCGCAAAGTTCTGGAGCTGCCCGTGGCCTTACCAGTGCCTCCAGCTTGCAGGAAGTGGTTCAGGCCATCCAGCGAAGTATCCGAAAGCCCACCTGCAGCCTTGAGCAGCTATCGAGACGCCCATAACCAAATCACGCCACGGGGCACCATTCGCCATGGGACCCGATCCTCGAACAACCTACCAGGGGATCCTTCCGAATCTGCCAGACACCGACGAACCCCAACGCAGAACCCAAAAAGTCCTTGGGCCACTGAAAGATACAAAGGCCCACGAACATTGCGTCACCCAGCCGTCCCCGAAGGGAGAGCTTTCAAATTAAAATAAAATGGGCGGGGGACAATGAAACGAGCGCCAAGGGATCCGGCTCACGTAACTCGTACGGGACTCAACTCGCACGGAGCTTCACTCACGCAGACCTCCTTTCGCACGGACTAAACTCGCACAGGGATTCACTCGCACGGGGCTCTACTCACACGGGCCTTGACTCGCACGGAACTGCTCTTGCGCTGAGGACGTCTTGAGGACGACAACGGCAGGACGCATCGCCTAGCGTGCGAGCAGAGCCGGTGAGAGTCGAGCGCATGCGGATGGAGCTGCATACGAATAAGGCTAATGCGTGCAGAGAAGTGAACCTTGTGCGTGCGAGTGGAGCTGGTGCAAGTGAAGTGCGCGCGAGCAGAGCTGCGTGTTAGCGGAGCCAGCTCAAGTTCAGCGAGTGCTAGTGGAGCTGTGACAGCGTCACTCGCCCGCGCAAGGGCCACAGGCTCCACTCGCATGACTGGTTGCGGTTGGGAGTAACTCTAAGGAAAACGAAAATGAAGAACTGCCCAGGGAACCCGTACGGGCCTCTTTTGGCAAACGACCCAGGAGACTTGGCGGGATGCGCCGAAAGCTATGAGGCACTCGTCACATGACAGCAAAGAGGGAGGGAAACAAAACACAACGTTCAACGTCTCTTATCACATGACCAAGCAGGGGGCGGAGAAACGCACTGCGCCACATGGGAACACCGTAGGCGGAAAAACGGCGTCGGCAAGCTCGTCAAATGGTAACGCAGTGTAGCGACATAAACACATGACGTCGACACTGCTTCTCACGTGGCCACGGAGGGTGGGCGCAGCAAATTCAACGCGACCAGCGATTTGACCAGAGGTGGTTTCCAGAGTTTATGTGTCATGCGCTCCCTTCTGCAGGGTTTCCGCCTACCCCTACGCACCCTCTCCCCTGGGCCTGGGCGGGAAGGGCGCGAGCAGTCAGAGCTTCCAAAGTGGCCCAGGCTGGTCTCCCAGATGACACTTGAGATAACCCAAGATGGTTCAAAATGGATCCCAACGTGCCTCCAGGAGACCCCAAGACCCATCCTAGAAGGCTACAAGGGGCCATGGAACCTCCCAAGGATAAAAGTCATTCAGAACAAAGAATCGGAATCAATGATAAGTGCCTTGTCGCGTATTCGCTTCCGATGAGTTTGGGGGCCTCACGGTAGCTCCAAAGTCGCACAGAAGAGCCCCAAGGAAACCAGAGGGCTCGAAAAGGCGACGGCTCGAGCTCTGAAGGGGCGGGGTCAATCAGGCCCTTTCCCATTCGCTCAAAGCCGAACATGTTGAAACCCAACTGAGTTTCTCGACGAGCGTGGTCTCTCGCGAACCTCCCTTGGAGGTGTTGGGGCAGCGATGGATCCAAACTGGGTGCGAACGGATTCATACGACCTCCAAAAAGGCGCCACACGGTCTGATCTGGGCGAAGAAAGCCTCCAACACGCATACACGAGGCCCAAAGACTACCACTCAGTCTTACGCCGAGGCGCGCGGACGCATGCAATGCCCACCTACGGAAAATGGCAAATCCGATTTGCTGCGCACACCGGTGCGCCCGTCCATCCGGGCGGCCTCCTTCTGCAACATCGTCGTCCAGTCATTCTGGGGCCCCCCCACCACGCGGACATATCGCTGTACTGCCGGTGTCGAAGTTCCGGGGATGAACGCCAGGGGTTTCGTGGGGCCCGTGTCCGGAAATCTCGCCACCCTCCCATATAAAAGTAATTGGTCATGAAGAAGTTGTCGATGAAGTGGTTGACAGGATGCCCTCCGTAGAACGGTCTCGTTCGATACCCTGGACACGCACGACGGCTGGATCCTTAGGATGCCCCGCAGGCAGCGACAATAAAATCCACCCAAGCGTCTCGTCTCCGAGGCGTTCAACCAGGCCGAGTTCAGCCCATACAACAACCTCCTGACAATAACAGAATGGAACACTTGCAGCTTTCGAGAGGTCGATAATGTCTTCCGCTTCCAAAGTAGTGACAGTGCAGAGAAATCGCGCCACGCGTGACCGATCTTCCTGGCGATCTCTTGCTTCACCCGCCCGTCGGCGCGGATGTTGGCTCCCAGGTAATTCATGCGCTCGTCAGTTTGAATACGTTCGCCGCCAGGTGTCCGCAGCGAGTACTCCTTTCGCACGACACCACTTGGAATTATGACCAGTGCAGCTCCATCCCATATCCAGCACCCGCGCGTGCGACTGCGTCGAGTAGCTCTTGAACGTGCTCCTGCTGCGCGCCAATGATCAGGGCGTCGTCCGCGCAGAGCAGAACGTCCAGACCTCCTTCCTGAAATGCTCTCTGCGCGCCTGGCGATAGCGAGCCCGTCGCGTCGTGGAGGGCAACTGTCATGAGCATCACAAAAAGGATGGGCGACAGGGGACACCCCTGCGATATTCCGGACATCTGCGGGCGCTGGCTGGACGCATGGCTGTCGTCGAGTACGATGAACCTCTGGCCGGCGTAAATGTGGCGAACAATTCTGATGCATTTCGGAGGCAGGTCAAACCGCCGGAGCGCAATCATGAAAGCGTCGACATTGATGGAATCGAACGCCTTCTGCTAGTCTAGAGCAACCATACCAACTTTGCCGCACTTGTGAGCATGCGCCAGACCAATGTGTCGCCGAACCATGAAGATTGCGTCGCTCGTGCACCGACCTCTCCTGAAGCCGAACTGCGTGCGAGTCAAGCGCCTCTCGGCCCCAGCACGTTGCAAACGTTTCAACATGACTGAAGCGAACAACTTGCATGTGACGCACACGAGGCGTATTGGACGTCCCCTTTTTCGTGCAGACTTACAACGTTGGCAGTGTGCCAATCGTCTGGGACAGTTTCCTGGATCCAACATTGATTGCACAAGTCGGTGAGCCATTGCAGGCCCTCGTCTGTCCTTGCCACTGCTTGCCAGTACTCGCCAAATATATCATCAGGGCCACATGCTTTCTGAGTCTTCAAACTTTTCACTGCCTCGGATATCTCCTCGTTGGCAATGTCGCCTTCGTCTGCGGGAAAGCGGCCCGCCCAGGCCTGGTCCTTCGACAAGCCCTGCTGGCCGCGCGCGCCACTGAATCGTTTCGAAGTGGTCCGCCATCGTCTCTGCCCATCTGTCGCTGTCAACCAGAGCTCCATAACGATCTCTCAGGCGACCGCTTTTCGGCTTCTTTGGCTTCCTGCATGCCTTGATGGCTTGCCAGCCTCCTGGCTGCAATCGCTGCTCCAACCACTCGGTTTTGTCGAGCTTTGCTTGCTTGCGCGCCGCTTTGCGCAGCTCGCGCTCAGACGTTGCATCGCCGCTTTCCCGGGCCAGGCGCTTGATGTCCAGGAGCTGGAGAGCATCCTCAGAAATCCAAGGTTTGTTCGCCCGCTGGGTCTTCACTGGAAGCGTCTCGGATGCTCTTCCCACTGCAAGTCTCGTGATCTCCCAGTCTTGCCCCAGAGTGCCGTCAACCACCCATGCTTCCACACGCCCGCGGAAAGCCTCGGCAAAACGATTCTTCACGCTGCCCCGCCCGAGCGTTGCAACGTTCATCCGTTTCGGCCGGGCCCCTTGCTGAGACTCACTCTCAAAACGAAGAGTAGCCGTCACCAAGAAATGGTCTGAAGCGAGAGGGGCCGATGGTCGAGGACACGGCGCTGACACGATTCATCGCGCCACCGTCGCACAGAAGCAAGTCTAGCATATGAAAGCCGATCTCGCCCACAACGTCCCCAGCACAGTATCCAGGCCAAAAATAATAAGCCTTGCCCTCGGCAGCCCCCTCGAGGAACGAGCTCGCGACGAGCATGGCGCTGGCGACGCAAAACTCGACGAGCAACTCCAGGTTGGGAATATCGAATTCATGCGAAGCCTCTCCGCCGAACGCGCGGGGTCCCACGATGTCTTCCTCACCCGCCTTGCTTATCCCAAGTCTCGCGTTCATGTCACCGATAATGATTGTTCCAAAATTTGTGGAGCAACGCTTGTGCTCTGCTGCCAGGAGTCGTGAAAAATGCACCCGCTGGCCCAAATCCTTGAGATTGCGAGGGGCGCAAGCGCATATCACTCCGAACACGCCTCCGCGGACGCGAAGCTTCAAGCAGCATTTTCGGTCGGACACCTGCCTGAAAGACTGCGTACAAGAAGCAAGCTTTGGGGAAATGATGAATCCGACTCCACTCCAACACCTGTCTGCGCCATCCGTGCCCGGCAATATTATAAGATGACCCTTCTCCCATTGCACTCTGCTTTCTGCGATCCATGCTTCTTGAATGCACGATATCCCCATCTGGTGGACATCCATTTGACGAGTGAATTCCCGAATCTTCAGGTCTGTGAGGCCATTGACATTCCAAGTGCCACATGTCAAAACTCCTGAAACATCGCGGCCGCCTCTCTGACCTTCCACGCACAAGCTTGGGTTGGCACGGAGTGAAACGTCGTCCACGCGCCCTCGGCGCCATTACTGCTCAGAGCCCTTGCCCGGGCCTTTGCTGGTCCTGGCGCGGCCCTTAAGGAGTCGGTCCTCGGCGCTCTCTTTGATCGTCTTCAGCTCCTGGGAGTTCTGGAAGTCGGCGCAGTCCGCCCACTCCTCGTTGACCTAATCGATCTTCAAGCTGTTCCCGACGACACTCGCCCTGACCACCTCCTCCCCCTCCACCTTAATGGCGCACACGTCCCGGTCGATGGACACGCATTCCTTCGCGAACCTCCACTCGATCAGCTGGCTCCGGAGATCCTGGAGAAACCCCAAAGCGACTCGAACCTCGATCGGAGCTTCAAGGTCGCACCAAATCCTGTCCTTGGAGTCTTTGCCGCTGGTGTTCGCCTTGTCCCGGACGACGTTGATCCCCACGGAGGCGCCCACGTCGCTGGCAAACTTCATGAAGATCAGCCCCTTGAACTCCACGCCCTTCCTTTTACACATCAGTCGGAGAAGTTCGCGTGCGCACCCATTCGCACGCTGTCGTAGGAGCACCGTCCGAGACCCCCCAAAACGACAATGGCGCGGCAACCAATGCCCTTCCCGATCTGGCCGGTGCTGCTGCTGATTCTCATCTTCCTCACCCAATCCTCGATCATCTTGGCAATCTCCTCCTCCGTGGCCATCTTGCCGGCGCTCTTCAGCACCTCCTCGAAGTTCTCCCTCGTGACGACGGTCTCCTTGAGCTTCTGGACATCTTTCTCCACCGTGCTGACCGCGGCCTTGGGCTGGTTGGCGGCCTCCTTGGCTGATCTGGCCTCCGCCACCGCCTCCCTCACATCCTCTGCACTGCTCCTCATAATCTCCCTCATCCCCTGCATGTCCTTCATCATTACCTTCATCATGTCTTTCATGTCCATGTCCTGCACGTTCGTGCTGACTCCTCTGCTTCCTCCGCTGCCCACCATCTCCCTCTCCTTGTGGGCACCCCCCCTTCTCCGCAAGCTCCGGGCCCGAGTCCACGAAGCCGACCTTCGCAATTTTCTTGTCTGGGCCCTCAGGATTGCTGCCCTGAGGCTTCAGCTTCCGCGCTTCGCCAGCGGCTCCTGGGTCAAGGCCCCCCTCGGCCAGAATGGCGGCGGCTGCAGCCCAGGCATTCGGCGGTAAGAACTGTCCGCTCTTGCCCTTGACGCCCATGCCACTGCCGTCTCGGGAAGCTGCAACATCTCCTGCGAGGGGCTGCCCCTGTGGGGTGCCAGGCGCTCGAGACATCTCGGGAGGCGTTATAAGTGAGTAACTGGAGCGAAAATGGTCTTGAGGGCGAAACGGGAGTAATTTGAAAGGAACACTTGCGTGGCCCCAAGATAATCTCAAGTGGCCTCGGATATGCCAACGTGTGGCTCTGTCCGGTTTCTTCCAACTCGATGGGTTACTGATTCTAAATGCGCCCCCAGAAGGCCGCAAGATGGTGTCGAAAAGCCCTCGCAAAACTCCCTGACAGAAAAATCCGCCAAGGCCTTTCTGGTCGACTCCTGTCGTTGTTGCCGTCTTGCCCTCAGCCATCCTGCGGTGTTGGGCCCTCGTTGTGAAGAGACGGTCCGCGCGTTTACTCCTCCTCCTCCTCCCTCCTTCTCCCCCTCCTCTCATCATCATCATGGTCATCATCATCATCATCACCATCATCATAATCATCATGGTCATCGTCTTCATCATCATCATCATCATCAACAACAACAACATCACCACATCAACATCGTCACACGTTTCGCTGCGCCCCCGCCACTTATTTCGGAACACCCCTCACACGTGTCGTGGCCCCATAGAAGCTCGGCCGACGGCCCCAGTGGCGCAGTCCGCATGCGTCCCCGCCACTCATTTGGGCACACCCCTCACACGCTTCGTGGCCCCATAGGAGCTCCGCCGAAGGTCTCCGTGGCACAGTCCGCGCGCGTCCCCGCCACTCATTTCAGCACACCCCTCACACGCACCGTGGCCCCATAGGAGCTCCGCCGAAGGTCCCAGTGGCACAGTCCGCATGCGCCCCCGCCACTCATTTCGGCACACCCCTCACACGCATCGTGGCCCGTAGGAGCTCCGCCGAAGGTCCCAGTGGCAATATCCGCACGCGTCCCCGCCATTCATGTCGCCACACCCCTCACACGCTTCGTGGCCCCACAGGAGCCCCGCCGAAGGTCCCAGTGGCACAGTCCGCATGCGCCCCCGACACTCATCTCGGCACACCCCTCACACGTTTCGTGGCCCCACAGGAGCCCCGCCGAAAGTCCCAGTGGCACAATCCGCATGCGCCCCCGCCACTAATTTCGGCACACCCCTCACACGTTTCATGGCCCCATAGGAGTTCCACCGAAGGTCCCAGTAGCAAAGTCCGCATGCGTCACCGCCACTCATGGCGGCACACCGCTCACACGTTTCGGGGCCCCCAACGAGCTCCGCCGAAGGTCCCAGTGGCACAGTCAGCATGCGTCCCCGCCACTCATGTCGGCACACCCCTCACACGTTTCGTGGCCCCATAGGAGCGCCCCCGCCACTCATTTCGGCACACCGCTCACACGCTTCGTGGCCCTATAGGAGCTCTGCCGAAGGTCCCAGTGGCACAGTCCGCATGCGTCCCCGCCACTCATTTCGGCACACCCCTCACACGTGGCCCCACGGGAGCTCCGCCGAAGGTCCCAGTGGCACAGTCCGCATGCGCCCCCGCCAGTCATGTCGACACACCCCTCACACGTTTCGTGGCCCAACAGGAGCTCCGCCGAAGGTCCCAGTGGCCCCCGCCACTCATTCCGGCCCACCCCTCACACGCTTCGTGGCCCCACAGGAGCTCCGCCGAAGGTCCCAATGGCACAATCCGCATGCGTCCCCGCCACTCATTTCGGCACACCGCTCACACGTTTTGTGGCCCCAAACGAGCTCCGCCGAAGGTCCCAGTGGCACAATCCGAACGCGCCCCCGCCACTCATTTCGGCCCACCCCTCACACGCTTCGTGGCCCCAGAGGAGCTCCGCCGAAGGTCCCAGTGGCACAGTCTGCATGCGTCCCCGCCACTCATGTCGCCACACCCCTCACACGCTTCGTGGCCCCATAAGAGCTCCGCCGAAGGAAACAGCGGTACAATCCGCATGCGCCCCCGCTGTTCATTTCGGCTCACCGCTCACACGCTTCGTGGCCCCATAGGAGCTCCGCCGAAGGTCCCAGTTGCACAATCCCCATGCGCCCCCGCCACTCATTTCGGCACACCCCTCACACGTTTCGGGGCCTCATAAAGAACTCCACCGAAGGTTCCCGAGGCGCAGTCCGCATGCGCCCCCCTCACCCAGCACAACGCTTCGCGGCCCCATTTGAAGCCCCACCGAAGGTCCCCGTGGCGCAGTCCGCACGCGGCCCCCTCACCCCCCACACGCTTCGTAGCCCCATAGGGAGCTCCACCGAAGGCCCCCGTGGCGCAGTCCGCATGCGCCCCCGCCACCCAGTGCAGCGCGTCGTGGCCCTTTAGGGAGCTCCACCGAAGGTCCCCGCGGCGCAGTCCGCATGCGTCTACCCCTCCGGGGCGACCGGGGCGCGTCGCGGGGACTCCGCGCTGCGCTGAGCACGCAGAGGCAATCATTCTCAAACTACTGACAGTCATTTACAACTACACCATGGTTTGGTCATACTCGCATGCATGCATGTAGACTCGCTCGCACGCAGATTCAATTTCAGTCAGACGCACTCGCGCTCAGATTCACCCGCGCTCAGTCTCCCTACGTACTCAGACCAATAGTTTTCGTTCGCGTTGTGCACCACGCCACTCATTTCGGCACACCCCAAGCACGATTCGTTGCCTCCAGTTGCCTCATAGGCATCACCACCGAAAAAGTGAATCACAATTCCGGAACTCACACCTGCATATGGCTGGGTCCTTCGTCAGTCTAATTTGTCACTTTGTTATCTTCCTCCACCTCCTCCTCCTGTTCTTCCCTCTTCCTCATGTTTGCCCTCCCCCTCCTCGTCCTCCTCCTCCTCCTCGATTCGCTTCGGTTCGATCTGCGCAGAGAGGTCGAAGCGCTGGTGGAGAGAAGCAAACGAGAGAAAGCCGAAGGAGTGACGAAACGGGGGGCAGCAGCAGCAGCAGCAGGCCAGGAAGGGACCGCACTGGCTGGAACGGGTCATATCGATTGAAGTGGATGGACACTGATAGCGTTGGAAAAAGGAAGGAAACGCGAGATGTCAAAAGAAATGGACCTTCCCCTTAAACAACAATGCGATACTTTCCGAAGAGGCTGCCATGCCCTTAAGGGCATAGGCATCCAACAATGGGCACTGCCTCAAATGGGAGGCGCACCTGCCATGGTCGGGCCATGGCCCTGGCATCTCCTTCCCCCCAGTGCCCTTCGTGCGACAACGAAATGTTTACACTGTTTTGCAACTGGTCCGAGGGGTGAAAGGGAGAGGGATAGAGCGGACCGTCGTGGTTCGCCGCACGCACACCACCTCTGGGACAGTGTACCATACAATACACGGCAAGTCCGGTGGCGAGATGTGGGCCCAACGGCGTGGTAAACCTTCTGAGCACAAGCGGTAGGTCCCAACCGTCGGCGGCCGGCAAGAAAGAGAGCAAGCCCCTGTACTATTTTTCATACAAGCGCGTCCACCCGGGCCGGGGCCGTACCATACCATCAAAGGAAATGTTTCGCGTTGGGCGGCCCCGGCACACACGCGGAACCCGAGAGCGCATCTCCTGGAGTAAACATGAAGCCAGAACGCGACAAAGGGGAGGGGTACGTCTTGGCATGGGCTGTGCGCCAGACACCATCATTCCCACCGCCATTCGGGCGAATGCGGGGTCTCCTGTGAATGCGCAACCCGCCCACCCACCCACCCCAGGCTTCGCGTCCAGTAGCTGGGCTGAGAAGTTCACATGAACAGCCAGAAGCGAGGTGGGCTTGAGGTGACGGGACCCAAGTTAACACTGGCTGGTGTGATGATCCTAACCCCAGGCACCCCAAGAAGCCGAACGATCTGGGGGAACTTCCACGACGAGGGGGCATCAGGCACTCTCGGGTTTACAGAGGGATGCCCAGTGATGGCGGGAAGCCCGAACAACCAAGCCTCATACAGGAAACGCACAATGGCACGCATGAGGGGGTTGCCCAGGCTCGCATAAATGGCTCCCCGAGCCCGCAGATGCCCAAGACCCCGAAGGGGTCTCGGACGTCGCGCGCCCCCATTAGCATCGGGAGGCCCAGGAAGAGAGCGAGCCGCCGACCATGTCGCGCATGGCCGGCCTGCAAGCACAGCAGCAACTCTTCCTGACCTGAGAAGCAAAGTCCAAGAGCCTGATGGACTGCACATTGGCGAGATCTCCATGCTCCTTGTGCTTTGAAACATCGATGATTCGCACCGCTACTCGCGTAGAGAAAGTCTCCAACAGCGCTTCCATGTGCCATTGCACACACCCCTGCATCCCATGGTCCGAGAAGAGAGGCCACACACATGGCAGGACGCAGAAGTAGAGAGCGCGGGCGAAAAGAAGAGGGGGGAGAACAGGGAAAGGGATGGGATCAACCTTGTCCTGAGCCTGCATGCGCACGCGAGAGAGAAATATTCGTAGTCCGATGGCAGGGCCCTGGCAGTGGACAGGGGGCTCAGGAGCAAAGTGGTCGGGCTTCCCATGAGAACCATCGGCAGCAGTGACCCTCATATGTACCTGTTGCGTTTCGCATCGCTCCTGCAATGTAGAAAAATTAGCCTGACTGAAACAGGGGTACTCGACACGTGGGTGCACTGCGCAAATGTTGAACCAAACTCGGGATCGTGCGATAAACACGGAGACGCACCTGGCATAGGGGGCCTGACGCAAGCAAAGTGGAAGCAAAAGGTGCCTTATGAAAGTTACCTCGATATGATTGATAATGTTGTTCTGGCACCGATGTTACATCGTTATCGAAGCACACCTATACCGGACCAGGCCCTGGCACGATCTCGAGTGGCGGGCGGCAAACCGCATCATCCAATGAGCGCTGCCAGGCAACAATGCAACACATCCCAGGGGAAGGCACCCGCCGTCTGAATCGCCCCCGACAGTGAAGCTTCAAAGGCCGTGGGGTGAGCTCTGACGAAAGAGACCTCCCCGAGACACGTCTTCGGGTCTCTGCGCAACAACAACCGAGCATTCGCATCATCCAACAAGTGGGAACAAA